TTTCCCTATGTGTCTTCAGTGATACCATATGCGTGATATTCCAGTAACATTAATTCTAATATACTGGTTATTTGTTTGAACAAATAATAGTGCCATTCTACCTTGTAATAAATGTGATATTGGACAAGCTAGTTTCTGGTTCGTACGTTTTTGTGTGGAATCCGTGTGGTTACAAATTGGGCCACTCGTATTGGCAGATTGAAGATAAGAATACATATGGAATTTTTATTACAACTTTTTTTGAGTTACATTTTTATTAGCACACAAATAATGGGGAAAAGTCATTTTTATTAGTGTTAGATCTTGTGTGATCTTTTTGTGGTGAACTTTGAAGAGTGATTGAATCTGGTCCTATGTGATGCAGATGCTAAAGAAGCTTAGCAAACAATTGAGTGGTGAGGATTGGAATTGGAACAACTTGAACACGCTATGCTGGGCAATAGGGTCTATATCTGGTTCGATGATGGAAGAACAGGTACTTTTTGCTTTTGGTGCTGGGAAGGAGCAATATATTAGAAGTGCATGTGCTTCATAAATTTTATTACATGTTATTTCTACTTGTTTTTGATTTGTCATCATTGTTTACATGTTCCTGTTTGAATATAAGAAAATCTTGTAGGGTCCGTTTAGTTCGCTGATTCGAGTTTTTAATTTGAGTTGAGATGTGACTTTATGTGAGAGCTTTTTACTATATCAAAAAAGTTAGATGTGACTGTTTCTGAGAGTTTTATACTATAGTAAAACTCGAATTCTAAACTTGAATCGGTGAAATGAATTGGGCCGTATATTTCTATTAAAGAGAACTGTATGATTTTTAGAATGCTTATAGCCTCTTTCTAGTTTTAAATTTTTACATTTACATGTATATGAGTGCACATATGCATGTATCTGTCACATGGTGTTAGCTGTCATGCCATCTACGGGCATCTAAATTGGAAAACATGATCTTTTGGGCGCAGATAATTTACAATGCATTGCTTTTTTTGTGTTTTTTTTTTCCTTTGACAATTCTTGTGTTGCATTGTTTTGGCAGGAAAACAGGTTTTTGGTGATGGTCATTCGTGACTTACTGAATCTTTGTGAAATTACAAAGGGCAAAGATAACAAAGCCGTTATTGCCAGTAACATTATGTAAGAATTGGCGATTTTTTGTTTATTTGAGCATAGCGTATCCCTGTAGTTCTTCTATCACTATTATTATTATTTATTTTTTTTAAGTAGCATGACTCCTTTTGTTACGGAAAGTTAGACCCTTCATCTTTTTGAAAAATAAAAATGCCTAACTGCCATGTGGCAAATAACAATTACATCATGCATTGCAAAATCGTATGTTCTAGTTTCATGCGTTAAATTTTATACTGTACATGACAATATGGGCGTTTTTATCCTCAAAAACTAGAGGACTCTACTTTCTAGGGGGGAAAAGAAAGAAAATGACAGTGGGTTTTATTTTTCAGCTTATGAGGAGGGAAGGTTTAGTTTCTCTAAAACTCTGATTCTTGTTGTGTAAATCCAATATTATGTCCTAATGGCATCTGTTCCCTCTCCAAATCTTTTCTACAGGTATGTTGTTGGACAATATCCGAGGTTTCTAAGAGCTCATTGGAAGTTCTTAAAAACTGTCGTGAACAAATTGTTTGAGTTCATGCATGAAACTCATCCTGGTGTTCAGGTAACTTTGCCATCATGAGTTTCCCGATGAACAGAAAATGCTTTGTATGTTATTGGAGTTGGAAGAAATTTAGGGCATGTTCTTTTGTCCAAAAAACTCAAAAAAAGACAACTCAAGTTTCAACTTTATTCAAGTTCACGTTCTTTTAAGTTTCAATTTTATTCAATTTTACTCAACTTTATTCAAGTTCTAACTTCAACTCAAGTTATAACTCAAATTCAACTCAAAAACTACACTCAAATTACACTCCAAAAGAACAATCCCTTAATCTTTGGAGCATGCTTTCTTGGGTTATTTTTCATTCAAGTGTTGCTTAAACTCACGTGTTCATATGTTTCAGGATATGGCCTGTGACACATTCTTGAAGATTGTGCAGAAGTGTAAGCGTAAATTTGTAATCGTTCAGGTACCATATAGTTTATGAAACTCACGTTTTATAGTAGCACCAGTGGATCTTCTGTCCAATGTCTTGAGAAACGTTTCAAAAATATTCTGCTTATTCAGTGATTTTGTTTTTAAATCATTTTTATTCACCGTCTGCTCCATTCAATCTCAGGTTGGGGAAAATGAGCCATTTGTATCTGAACTTCTATCAGGCCTTCCAACGACTGTTGCAGATCTTGAACCTCACCAGATTCATACGTTTTATGAATCTGTATGTTTTTCTTATGTCCCTTTGGTTGCATCTATGTACTCAAGATTGTATAATACATGCATATTTATGTAATTGTTTTGATTTATTTGTTTCAGGTTGGTCACATGATTCAAGCAGAAACTGATTCTAAGAAAAGGGACGAGTATCTACAGAGGTTGATGGACCTGCCCAATCAGGTTTGTCCTATTTCTAATTGCTTGCTGTTGGAAGATTATGACCTGTGTTCTACAACTCTATCTTACAGGCACACTCCTCTTGACATGTACAAACACGCAGTCCTTTTATAGTTGCCTTATCTTTGTTATGCAGAAATGGGCAGAAATTATAGGTCAGGCACGTATAAGTGTTGATTTCCTAAAGGATCAGGATGTGATAAGGACAGTTCTGAACATATTGCAGGTGTGGCCTTTTAATCATGCTTTTTTGTGTTTTTCATAAATATATACATATTTGAGTGTTCGCAATTATTCTCAATGATGCTTTCTTTCTTGATTCCTCTCAGTTGATGTGAGGTACTCCACCATTTTATTGTTATGTTTCTTTTTTATTTTCTGCATGTCACTATCAGGCATTTGTAGTTTATTATATTGTTTCATTAGGATTAGTTGTGATCATTGCAAGTTTGAAATTTGCAGACAAATACAAGTGTTGCTAGTTCCTTGGGTACTTATTTCTTACCCCAAATTTCCTTGATCTTTCTGGACATGCTTAACGTGTACAGGTATACCTTTCGGGATTACTATTTTCTAATGTTATCTTGAAATAGTGTTTGTTCTTTTTGCCTCTTCTTTATTTATTTATTTTAATACGGTATGATCTATGTATGACTTTTCAATTATTCAACAGGATGTACAGTGAGCTTATATCTAGCAGTATTGCAGAAGGGGGCCCCTTTGCATCGAAAACATCCTATGTGAAACTTCTAAGGTCTGATCTATTATGACGGTTCCTTAAGTTTAGCTACGGATCTTATGGCAATTTCATTATTTTGAGCGTTTTTTTCCCCCTATGTAAGCACAGATCGGTTAAGAGGGAGACTCTGAAGCTTATTGAGACTTTCTTGGACAAAGCGGAAGATCAACCCCAGACAGGAAAACAATTTGTGCCCCCGATGATGGATCCTGTTCTTTTAGATTATGCTAGGAATCTGCCCGATGCTAGAGAATCAGAAGTTTTATCTCTATTTGCCACAATAATAAACAAGTACGTTACCTTCTCTTGTTATTTTTATCTTGCATCAGTGAGTTGCTTATTTGTGTGCTGAGGTAGTTCCACGTCTTAAAAAAAAAAAAGAAAAGAAAAAAAGCAAAACAAAATTGCAACATCTGATGTTGCACATGCACATATGCTAGGCTTTGTTCTACCACATGATCTCCATTTTGGTGAGTGGGGCCAGACATTGTGGTTATATGATTGTTCGTTATGAATGGGATATACATCTTTTGAAGTGATACTGCTTTCTTCCCTCTTTTTTCTTGATTTAGAATAATTATTGCATGTTATTGCTTTTTCTTTATTTGTTCTTGTTCTTTTGGTTTTAGGTACAAAGGTGCAATGACAGATGATGTGCCACGTATTTTCGAAGCTGTTTTCCAGTGCACTTTGGAGGTGAGGATACTGGCTATTTGGAAATTGGAATTGCCTCATCTATTAACTTGTTAGGTCGAAAGAGATTGTAACAGTTAGCTGCTTATCTGACATGTCCTTAATTTTGCGCCACTGCAGATGATTACTAAGAACTTTGAAGACTATCCTGAGCATCGTCTCAAGTTCTTTTCATTACTACGTGCCATTGCAACACATTGTTTTCCAGCTTTGATTCACTTATCAAGTCAGGTTTGTGCTTATATTCATTTGCATCTTTTGACCAACTTTTTTGCTTATGCTAGAGCAAATGAGTATTGTGCCCTTTTTTTCTCTTTTTTTTCTTTCTTTTTTTTTCCTCTTGATATACTATCAATGAAGTAATTTTTCATATATTTTTTCTTTTGGTACTCTTCAGCAACTAAAGCTTGTCATGGATTCAATTATATGGGCTTTTCGGCACACAGAAAGAAATATTGCAGAAACTGGGCTCAACCTGTTACTAGAGATGCTGAAGAACTTTCAGGTTCAATCTTGGTGTATTCTTGTGCTATCTCTTCTTCGTTTAAGATGCTAAGAATATTTTTTGAAAATTGACAGAATTCTGAGTTCTGCAACCAATTTTACCGGACATACTTTTTGACCATTGAGCAAGAAATATTTGCTGTTTTGACGGATACCTTTCATAAGCCTGGGTTCAAGTTGCATGTCTTGGTGCTTCAACATTTGTTTTGCCTGGTAATGTTTCTTGTTATTGTCACCTATTCCTCAATTTCAATAGGGTTAGCACGAGTTTAACTAAGAGAATTTTCAGGTGGAAACTGGCCTGTTGACTGAGCCTTTGTGGGATGTTGCAACGGTTTCATACGCTTATCCAAGTAATGCAATTTTTGTTCGTGAGTACACCATAAAACTCCTAAGTACGTCGTTTCCCAACATGACTGCTGCAGAGGTATGAACCCCTATCCCTTCCCGTTGCTTCCACCCACTACCTCCACACAAAAAAAAAAAAAAAGTGGTATTTTATCTGTTTTGAGGTTTTTTCAGGTCACTCAATTTGTGAATGGTGGGCTGTTTGAATCGAGGAATGACCTCTCCACATTTAAGAATCATATACGAGACTTTCTTGTGCAATCGAAAGAATTTTCTGCGCAGGTAAAGGCACAATTTAGTGTACCGTTTTTACTTCTACATCAAGTTATTTTTACTTTATTCAACCCATGTACTCTATTGCGAAATCAAAAGTCTGTCATTTTTCTTTTCCTTCTTGTGGGGCGTGACCATGTGGTTCAGATGCGTGTAATTTGAATGCTCAATTCTTTTTGCAGGACAACAAGGACCTTTATGCTGAGGAGGCAGCTGCTCAAAGAGAAAGAGAGCGGCAAAGAATGCTTTCCATACCAGGACTTATTGCCCCTAATGAGATACAAGATGAGATGTTGGATTCATAGACCGCTAATTTTAGCGGAGCTAATTGTGTGAATGAAGCGGAGTTTCTGTGGGTGCCTTGATTCATTTACTCGAACCTGCGGATGTGAAGAGATGCAACAGTTTACCCCTGTTATTAGTTTCAAGAATTTCTTTAGCCAAAAGTAGTAGAACCACAGAGGCGCCCCGTGTACCATGGTTTGGTTGCTGGCAGTGCTGCCTCACGTTGATTTGATGGGTGTAGATTATTTTAGTGCTGATTTAGGAAAACACAGGAGTCATTGGTACGGTTTTGCTGGATCCACTCATAATTTGTATTTTGATGGATGGGACGCAAAGACTGTTTGGATGACTCATTTTGAAACTATTGATGATTCGTCTTAGGTGTAATGTATACTAACTTCGCCGAGTTGTGCAGAAATTACCTTTGGTTCTTTTTTTTTCTTTTTTTTGGTTTAATTTATTCATAGGATGGGTTGTGTTTAAAGATTCTGTTCGAGGATGTTGATTTTTGTTTCCATATCAATTCAATATCATGTCTTTAATAGATGTTTGTTTCTTCCATTTCCTTTATATATATATCAAACATGGATTTGATCTTGGTTTTGCTTGAATGCAAGTGCTAAAGTTGGCTAATGGTGGACAGATTATAAAGATAAATAGCATGTGGACTTTAGGAGGATTGGTAGTATTCCTCTACAACAAGTGGTCTTTACTTGCTTAAGTTTTGAGCATTGCTATAAGGCATCTGGAGTGCTATCCACCACTAATAGAAGGTCTTCAGCGGCCTAGATGGATGCTATAATGGATTGCTCTGCCTTGTAGCAAATTGAAATAAGGATGCATCATAAAAATAAGAAAGTTGCTAAATACTCCTGTGGCAACCAACACTTGGGCTAAAAAGGTGTTATCACAAGTAGTAGTGAATTTTGACAAAATCATAACCTATAAATAATTCGCAGCTTAAGATTACAAAATAATGGACCAAGCTTGGCGAAGATCTAGCGGTTTAAAAGTGCTCCAAGCTGATGTGGCACATTTTTTGTATCCTATCCAATAGTTATTAAGAAGACTGAACTTAACACTAATGCTTATTATATCAGTCTTACAACTCCTTGAGGCCTCGTTACCACATCCAGCAACAGCTTGAAGTTCTCTGTGGAGCTTCCTCTTGGACCCACAGCTTCATTTGCAGCTTCTTTGAGACTCTTGATCTTGTCCCTCATTTTCTTCCTTCTCTCTTGACATAAAACAAGATCCAAACATCTTTCTAGCCCTGCCCTTGTGAAAGCCCCACCCTCAACTTTCACACCGATCTCCCACACGTCCTGCACCATCCGCCCATTGAGCCTTTGGTCTCCGAAAAATGGCCTGCAAAGGGAAAATGATACATATGGAGGAAGGTTAGAACAAAATACTAGTTTTAACAGAATTTACCGAAATTTTAACACACGCGCATTCATGATATTCATCATAATCGTGTATTATTGCTCACCTGCAAATCATGGGCACACCGCCAACTATGCTCTCCAAAACTGAGTTCCAACCACAATGTGTCACAAACACCCCGACTGCTCTGTGTGCCAGTATATCAATCTGTGGGGCCCACGGCACCACCATTCCAGTTTTCCTTGTTTTCTCCAAAAACCCAATTGGCAAATTTTCCTTTGCATTCTCCCTGAGGGACCAAATGAATGGGATCCCACCTCCTTCTAAGGCTGCAGCTATTTCCTCTAGTTCCTCTCTTGGTGGCACCATGACTGAACCAAAGCTAATGTACGCCACCGACGCGTCAGCCTTCTGCTCGTCGAGCCACCGCAGGCAGCCGCTTTCATCCGGGGTTGGCGGCAGTGATGGGGACACTACGTTGAGGGGCCCCACATTGAGGAATTTATTGAATTTGGACTTGAGGTCATGCGTAATGGTTTTGTCTAGCTCTTCAAAGGAATTTATGAAAACTGCCTTTGCACGTGGTAGCAATAGGCCCATTTTGTGTAACATGTTTGAGAAGACTGATTCCAATTTTCCAAAGAGGACTCCTTCGGGCAAATCTTGGACAAGAACTTTGGACATTCCTGGGATGAAACTGAGGGGTTCGTTTTCACTTCCTGCAAGATTTATTAAAATATATCAACTAATTAAAAAAAAAAATCTTTCGATTCGTCCTATAGCATGACGAAAGTATTATTTTAGTCGTTGAAACTTTAAGATCAAGGGAAAAAAGTCATTGAACCTACTATAAAAAAAAAGTTCTATCTTTGTTTTTCTTTCGTTAAATTGATGATAAAATAAGCACTCTACACCCAAGGATTTATTTTTTAATTCCCTTTTAACAGAAGGCCCCACTTTATAATTTCAACCAACTAAAAAACCAACAAACAAAAATCCTAAAAAGGAGTAACAAGAAACTTGCCAAGTTTACGCACTAATAACGTGATATTCTAGTAGCAGCCAGAGTATTAATCAATCCTTGGCTTATAAGCTTAGCCTAAAAATTCCCACCCCCAGTTTTTTTTTTATTTTTTTTTATTTTTATATATATGTATATAACATAGTATTAAGTACTAACACACAAAAAATCAATACCTTTAGCTGCAATGGAAATCCGCTGCCTAATAAGATCAGTGTAAAAATGAGCGGATAGAGAACAAGGCCCTGCAGTCCAAAATTGGACCCAACTAGCCACTCTCATGTCTTGAGCCAACTCTCCTCCAAACCAAAAGAAAGCGTCCGTCAGCAAGCAGCTAACCTCCCTCCCCGTCTCCACCACCGCCATCTCTATGTTAAACCGCAGACTCTCCGGTGCCGCCTTCACGAACAGCTCGACGCGTTCCTGCGGCTTCCCCGAGAAGACATGGCCTTCCGGCACCCCATCCCATATGTCATAGGCCGTAATGTTGGGGAATTGAGTGGCGGTGTCCTTGTTGAAGATGGAGTTGTTGGATTGTCTCGTGTTGAAGAAGGAGAATGTTGTTCCCGGGGACGCCGCAGCTAGGCGGCGGACGATGGCCAGGAGTGGGGCGGCGTGCGTGCCGAAGGGAAAGGCCGCCACGGCGACGTGGCAAGGTGGTGATGGTGCCATTTTTTAGGTAAGTTTGTTATGGAGGTTTTGGTTGGTCTTCTTTTTCTTCTAGAAGAAAATTGGAAAAAGAGTCTTTGATGATGTTGGTTATTGGTGCAAGTGGAAGGTCTTTGATTGCATTTGGCTTTAAAAGCACTAGCTCAATGGCAATTATATTTATGGTAGAATTATGTCATAGGCTGAAAAAAAAAAAAGAGGAAGACTACTGATATTGTGCAGTTTTTTTCTTTAGATAGATAATATAGAGATTCCCATCAAAGCAACCACGACACCAACAAATAACTAGTTCATATTTGACATTTAAACTCGAATGAAATTCTCGAAAGGATATGTTGCAGTTTTGAAACGTTTAAGTTTTTCCATTTAAAAAAAAAAAAAAAAGATAAGAAAACGTTATGTTTTCATGAGGTTTAGTTAAATTTTCATTGAGAAAATAAAAAAGAAATTGCTTTAATTATCATTAATTTTGTTGTTATCAACATTAAATGGTGTTTAGTTAGTCTTCTAGAGTTTCAAAAGTGTGGCTCGACGGCTGACACGGGGGTTGGCACAAGCCATCCGACGTACCAACCAAACCATAGAGAAAAGAGGGTCAGTGTCATTTAAACTCAAAATTGATTTGTTTCTTTGTAATACGTGGACTAAATATAGTGATTCAAAATTCAAAAATCCAACTGGTATTTAATTTGGAACATAAAATCTGGAGAAAAAAGGAAACAAATATCTTAGGGTATATCTCTTACTCTTAATTAATATCTTTTTTAGTCAAATAACTTTATTAATTAAAAAAGTACTAATTAATTGTACAGAATAAAAATCCAATGTACTCTAAAAATAAATTCAATAATTTTCTCTAAAATCTGTGGAGTTTAAAGAAATTAACGGAGAAAAATTAGGTTTTTTTAGTCAAATGAAGACATTAATAAAAACATGTAGTTGATACGAGAATGAGACAAACATATTTAATTTAAATTAAGTAGTTGATTATTGAATTCAAAATTTGACAAATAGGTTTATAAGACTATTTTATCAATTAACTAATTTATTTTAGTTTGTGATGCAAAATAGATAATTCTTTCATAAGAGTTTTCTCTTCAAATATATATTTTTTAATCTTTGGGTGGATTAAAATTTAAAAATGATGGGAGTCGTATATTATATTATCTCCATTTTTTAGCTTTTACTCTAATAAATTTAGTTTTAAATGTATTTCCATAAATGTGCTGATAATGTCACAATGATGATAAATAACATTTTTTCGTTTTTTGTTTTTTGTTTTTTTACTCATGCTAACGTAAGCGATGGCAAGTAAACACACGTGAACCACCCCATGCAAGGAAAAAAAAAGAGAATTTATCTTGAGAGTGTCTAGATATTTACTTTTTATTCTTAATAAATAGAAAATAAAAATTTTAATTTATACACTTTAAAGAATATTTGTAAAAAATTACGGGAGAATGTTCGGTGGTTAGACTAGATTTTGAAAATTAAAGAAGGACCTAGGTAACTGGGCTTGTACTTTGTTGGGCTCAATAGATCGATTTAGGTCCCGTGATAGTACTTGGGCTGGCATTAGGCCTATAGTAGGCCCATTCTCCAGTTGGGTTTTGGTCACCGAGTTTGACTTCGTAAAAATAAATAAAGGTAATTATATATATGTCTATTTTACCATGCATAAAAAAGAATGTGTTATTATATTTATAAGTAAGTTTGTAAAATAACCTGTAATAATTTTTTTATTTTTAGTTAACTATTTTTTAGGTTTAGTTATACAAATTCACAATCACCCAGATAAAAAAGGTATATTTAGAATTATATTATATCAATAAACTAGACAGAGTGATAATATTGTTAAATTAAAGACATATTCAAAATATAGAGAGTAAAAATGATCATTTCGTGTAAATACTTCAAATAAATATGGACGCTACTTGGTTTCCTTATCCACTTTTTCTTTTTCTTTTTTTTTTCAATGACCTTACCTTCTTTTTTGAAAACTTGTAGTAAATAACATATTTATAAAACTAAATTAAGTAAATAACATATTTTAAAACTATTACAAGTAAATAGTAATTTGTCCTGTAAATGTTTCTTTACGGCTGGTAAACAATAATTTACATGGTAAAAAATTTTGTATGTGGAAAAATATCTTTTTAACGGTCTTAAAAATTAAATTTACGTGGAAAAAAATCTTTTTAATAGTCGTAAATGAAACATTTACACGGTGAATTACTATTTACTTCAAATAGTTTTAAAATATGCTATTTACTTAATTTAGTTCCATAAATCTACTATTTACTACATTGTCTCTTTTCTTTTCGCATTAGAGTTGATCTCTTTTATTTTTTATAACAATAATTTAAAAAATTTAAGACCAATACAAGGGCAAAATTATCAAAACAATAACTTTAAAAACATTTAATTTTTAAAAAATGAAGTTAACTCATTTAAGAGACAAGGTCACACTACTAGAGCTCTGTAACGCCCTGAAGAATTAATTGAGATTAATTAAGGTAATTAAGATTATTAGTGTGCCCAATCTGGATTATTAATTGAGTTTAATTAATAAATGTTTCTGACACGTGTGAGTTTAAATAGTTCCAAGGTATTTAAATTATTCTCAGTAATTTATTTTAACCCAGAAGTGTGTATGGGCGCATTTCTGGACTGTTCTTTTAAAATATTGTACACATGCCCTTTTCCTTTCCTTTTTCCTTTTCTTTTCTTTTTCCTTTTCCTTTTCTTTTCTTTTCTCTTCCTTTCCCGTGCGCCTCTCTCCATCATTCTCTCTCTCACTCTCCCATGCTCTCTCTCACTCTCTCTCTCTCTCTCTCTCATTTTTGTCCCAAATCAAACGGATCTTGAACCAAGCAAAGATTTAAAGAAGTTTTCAATGTCAAGAGAAGGATTCGAGGTAAGATTACTGAAAGAACCTCTCTTGAATCTTACGTTTTCAGATTTCAAAATCCATTTTTGGTTCAAACCGGATTTTGATGGTTTTTGAGTAAAACTAGAGTAGAAATTGGAGATCTTGGGTTCTTTGGACTTGTTTTAGGACCTAGAACCCAGATCTAGTGGTTCCTCTTTGAAAAATCTCGATTTGGGACTGGATTTGCAGGTTTTGAACTGATTTCCGTGAGCTTCTCTCGCGCAGCTGATTCCACCGGTCGACCTGTGCGGTCGACCGGATCACATGGAAACCGGTCGACCTATGAAGTTGACCGGATTGCAGGCTGACCGGTCGACCGGTCCGGTCGACCGGTGTGCACA